TGGTGTGACAGCGTTGGCTTTGTCATATTTTGAGGTATAAACCATATGAAATCCTGCGTAATTCGGATCTGAAGCCCTGCGAGAAGAAATAATGAAAATTTTAATACGTCTGTTTTTGCCTCTTCTGTATTAGACATGGCAAGTCTTACTAAAGGGCAATTACTGTTGGTATTTGCTACCTCGAGCTATTTCTTAGTGCCTCCGCCTGTCTAAGAGTAAATTACGGAGTGTGTTTTAAATTTGACTTTCGTATTTTTGACTTCTGGATGAAAAACAGCCATGTGTTATAGAGCTTAGCGTATGTGAGCTGACTTCGCAGTGAATTTTTTTTTCAGCAAGCAACGAATGTGCCGATAGAGCACTGAATACCTGCGATGAAAACGCGGACTGCATCGATACACAGGATTCTTATACCTGCCAGTGCTATCCAGGCTTTGTCGATGTTTCTTCTAGTGCCAACCTACAGCCTGGAAGGGTTTGTACGGTACAAACAACTTGTCCAAAGCAAAAAACAGATCTCATGTTTCTGATCGATGGATCCGGCTCTATCGGCTCATATGTCTTCAAAAATGAGGTAATTTTTGAGAGTTTCAAACTGAGGAAGGCAGAAAAAAAACTAAAATTTAAAAAGCCGAAAAAATAAGGATTGCAAAATTTAGAAAGAAAACAAAAATTTAAAAAAAAAGCTCGAAAGAAACAAAATCCGGAAAAAAAATTTTATAAACTCTCTGTTGAGTTTTTGTCGTTCATTGGAATTAAATTTTGCAAATTTTTGATTCTTTTTTGACGGCATGAAGGTTCTTGATAAATTAAACTTTGCCAACTTCCTAGGAGACAAGAACTTTTCAAATTTTCTTTTAAATTAATTTTTGCTGCAACGTAAAGGATTGCTCGGGCGATTCCCAAAGACCTGTCAAACAAAGATCGAACATATGGTGAGTACTTACCATTGAAGGTACGCAGTTCAGAATTGAAGAGCTGACATAGTTAAGCAAGGAGTATAGGAGCATAATATTAACACTACCAACGAGAATAAAGCAGGCGGTTTTGGTATTCTTGTTATTTTTATTATCCATAAAATTATAAAATGGAGCTTCGTCAGCTGTATGAAATGTGATTTAAAAAAACTTCCTTTATGCATAAACGTTACATAAAAATGAGTTATTTTTATTTTTCATTGATGCTTTAACTCACCATTTTTTTTTTTTTTGGTAAAGCTTGGTGTGTAGGCCTGGAATAAAGAATTACAATTTTTTTTGTCGGCTTACTTGGAATTTTTTAGGAACTTTTTATTGAATCTTAATACAGGTTTTACGATTCGTCAAGGAATTTGTGGAACTGTTTGATATTGGCCTGGATAACACTCGTGTCGGCTTGATACAGTATTCGGATCAGATTAGGCACGAATTTGATCTGAGCCAATTTACCGACAAGGCATCTGTTGTCAGTGCGCTTTCGCAGGTTCAGTACCTAACAGGTCTCACAAGGTGATTCAGTCAGACTTTTTTTGAGTACCTTTTGTGATTCAATCAGACTTTTTTTCGCATATCATTTTTCATGTTCTGCCTACAACCTAAGTTATGTTAACTTAAATACCTGCAATCTGTTGTACACGGGAGCAACCATTAATTCACTCTCTGATTCTCCATCAAAGCAGTTGGCGATTTTTCATCTTTCATGGTTGGTCTGATCAACGCTACACAATTGATGGTCAGCTTGCTGGCGATTCTAACGTTCGTTTCTTCTGAAGAGATGAGTGACTCAGAGTTTTTCTTGACAGATTTTGTCAGCGTTTTGAAATGCCCATGATATGTGTTGAGTTTGCTTAGCTATAACAAACTATTTTACACTCTAAAATTTTTGCAACTGTAGAACCGGCGCTGCGATCCAGCATATGGTGATGGAAGGTTTCTCGGAGCGACGTGGTGCTCGCACACAAGGAGAC